AACATAAATAAGATATAGGTTAACTAAGTAAAGGAAAGGAAATGAGAAGTATAAACAAGAGATTAATATAAGTAAAACTTAAGCATTACAATAAAGAGATAACAAGAACATAATCTTAATCTGAAAAACCAAGATGCCTATATGCATGGAAAATGACTCCTTTTAAACGTCAAAATTAGAAAATATTGATTTGTTGACTAATTGTTGAGTGGGTGACCAACTCTTGACTTGGTGATAATTCTTATCTTCTTGTCTGAACAAAACATCATTGATAATGTTAGAACAGATTTAAATCATGAAAGTTCTAGGAAATTATCTTAGCTTTTCAAAAGAAATTAAGGTTATTTGGACTTTTAGAACTCGAGATATGAGCTGAACATTAAACAGTATCTGGGCTGCAAAACAGATTTTGACTTTTTTATTGTTGCTAAGATTTGAACTTCCAAACAGTAGAATTGAGTCTTGCCTTCTGCATGAATGTTTTAGGCCTATGTCTTAGCTTTCCATCTATATAGAGCAGACCTAAATCCAAGATTTATATTTTTAAATATGACCCAATGAGTAAATTATGTTCCAATTTAGGTTAAACCAGCATCTCTTTTTTAAGTTTGGTCCTCTCTTTATCCTTGCGCTCGAATAATCAAAAGAAAAACTTCTGTATAAACATAAGTTCTGTTTATACATCTTATTTTTTTATTCTGCAAATTGAATAGAATCCTAAATGGAATCGGATTCTATCTAATACAACTACAACGAAAAATTTTCAAATTCAAAAATGAAATAGAGAAAGAGAAATAGAATGGAATGGAAAAGATCAAAAATCAATAAAATAATAAAATTAAGGCGGATAGAAAAACTTATTAGATACCATGGATTCGGATATCTAATAAGTTATACCTACTATTGGATTTATTTGAACCAATGACTCCCACCGTATGAAAGTAATACTCTAACCACTAAGTTAAGTAGGTAATTTAGAATCATTAGGCGTTGTGCGTATCGACCTGTGCAGTGCTGTAGCTAACGCGTTAAGTATCCCGCCTAGGGAGTACGTTTGCAAGAATGAAACTCAAAGGAATTGACAAGGGCCCGCACAAGCGGTGGAGCATATGGTTTAATTCGATGCAAAGAGAGGGGTGCCTTCGGGAACGCGGACATAGGTGGTGCATGGCTGTCGTCAGCTCGTGCCGTAAGATGTTGGGTTAAATCCCGCAACGAGTGCAACCCTCGTGTTTAGTTGCCACCGTTGAGTTTGGAACCCTGAACAGACTGCCGGTGATAAGCGGGAGGAAGGTGAGGATGATGTCAAGTCATCATGCCCCTTATGCCCTAGGCGACACACATGCTACAATGGCGCAATTCGCAGAATTAGAAGCCTTTGTGCAATTCGCTTCGGATCTTGATAAAGCTACTCAGAATCAATTGGCAAGAGGTCAATGATGGCGCGAGTTGCTCAAACAATCCCAAGCCGCCCCTTTCACGGTGGCAAAATAGATAATGACTATTTATACCAGAACGAATGGTTATCTTGATTCATTAGAAATTGGACAAGTAAGGAAATTTCTCGTTGAGTTACGTACCTACTTAAAAATGAGTAAAACTCAGTTTCAAGAAATTATATCTTCTACAAAAACATTTACTGAAGAAGCAGAAGCCCTTTTGAAAGAAGCCAATGCTTCTAGAGCTACTCGATTATCAATGGCACCGGGTGCATTTCCCCAAGGGTGCCCTAAAGTTCCTCCACCGAATTGTAGTACGGAATCATCTCCAAAGATCTCGGTCAGAGCAGGCATACGCCAAACATGGATACCCCCCGAAGCCAATCTTGAGTGAAATAAATATCGCGGCTTCGATCTTTTTCAATACAAAGAAAAAAGAAAAAGGACTTGTATTCATATACGTGAGAATTATATAAGAACAAGAAGAATCTTTGATTCTTTTTTACAAAAAAGGAAATAGATTTCTTAATATTGTTCAAATTCCAATACTCGTGAAGAAAGAGTCGTAATAAATGCAAAGAGGAGGGATCTTTCACCCAATAGCGAAGGATTTGAACCAATTTTTCTAGATGGATGGGGTACGGTATTAGTCCCTCTGACAGATAATTTAAATGTGGGAATTTGCCCTCTAAAAAAGGAAATATTGAATGAATTGATCGTAAATTATGAGATTTTACTATTTCTGATCTTTCTAAAGAGGATACTAATCGTAAGGAAAATGGAATTTCCACAATAACTGCAAACCCCTCCGATATCATTTGAAAATACAAATTTTTGTTATACCTAAAAAATGTATTTTGGTTAGAATCATTAGCAGAAATAATCAAATGATTCTGTTGATACATTCGAGTAATTAAACGTTTTACGATTAGTAAACTATATTTATTGTCATAACCTACATTTTCTAACAAAATAGATCTATTTAAGTCACGATCATGAGCAAATGTATAAATATACTCCCGAAAGATAAAAAAAAAATTTATTTATAGGTAAACGGGTAA